TACATTATCCCAAATGTTTCAAAGAATGTTTAAATCCAGAGAAATAAGCAATTTTAACTAGTGACACGGAGCATGTCTATAGTGTCATTGTGTCGCCTGCTAATGACGTCATCGAGTTCCGGTTTTGTTTTGTAGAAAACATGGAAACACCAAAGACGCTTTAATATGTTGTGTTTTATTAGACCGGTGACGAGCGCACAGAGTAGCATTATAACAGAACTAAATGTATCTAGTATGATAAAACAGCGCTGCTTTACCCCACATACGCACGACCGGAAGCAGCAGAAGCAGTCAACTGTGGCATAATAAAAGCTCCGCTGCTTTCCAGCCGTGTGTCACGCTCGTTCAGCGCCTCATTTTGCTTCGACAGCTTTCAGCCCACCCCGCTTCATTCTACTACGTTAATAAATCATTAGCTCATCCATGAACATGATTTCTGTCTGAGTCCCGTCGGATTGCGTCGGCTGTGAGGATGAAGAGCACAACTCCCATGATTCCACACTCAGTCACAGCGTCATCAAACTACGCCTTTGTCTCTTTGTTTGTTTTGAATACACGCCCTCTAGTGGCGAAAATTACATATTGTGCCTCTAAGTCAGAATTGTGAGTTATCTCAGAAAGTCAATTACAGTGAGTAATCATTGTTGATAAATCCCACATACTCGTTCACGTTCATTTACATTCAGAAACGCCTCCAATGAACCATATATGGTGACAACACCTCCCTTTATAAATCACTTTGTAAACAGTTCTAGATGATTATACATCAAGTTTATTGTTGTTGATATATGAATGTATTGTCACTGTCAGCTAATGCACAGATGACACATTAATGCTCTTGATCTATATATAAAGATTTGATATATGTATGTAATTGTCAAGATAAGCCTGTATATATGTATGTGAGTGAATACCACAAAAACACGTTTCACCCCAAAATCAAAATAAATGTCATATTTTACATTGAGAAAATAAGGCTAATTTAATAGTCAAGTCACATTTATTTAAATAGCACTTTATACAGTGCAGATTGTTTCAAAGCAGCCTTGATAATAATTAATTGAAATAATAAATGATCAATTCACTTTTCAAATTGACAAATCAGTCGAAACTTTTACATTACTTAACATCTGTACATATGAACATATTTTCCATTGAAAAATTAAAACCATAAAAATATATTTTTTTAACTCAAAATAAAATATATAAAAAAGCTTATTTTATTTCAGCTAGTTTCCAAGGCAACATTTCTCATTTTAATTTAGTTTAACTTCATTTCTTAAATAACTTAAACTAAAACCAAAATCAAATTAATAACAACTAAACACACACACACACACACACTCACACACACAGACACACACACTCACACACACACACACACACACACACACACACACACAC